AAACCTCCTTTTTCTTTTTGGGGGGGGCGGACCCCCCATTAAGGGGTGCCCATCAGGGGGGAGGGGGGGTGGGGGGGGGGGGGCTCCGTGATGCCTCGGTCGTGGTGTTCCTTGGGTGTCTCTGGTGTAGGGCATCGCGACCTCAAGCCAGACAAGGACGATTATGATTTGGCAAGCTCTTCCTCGGGTCGGGATATGTGTTGGTTTCTAGCTCGTTCTGCTGTCTCTTTGTGTTTTTGCTCTGACTGGTGCAAGGCCAACATGCACCACGTCTCTCTCCGTCGATACCAGCGTGCATTGCAGGACGAAATCGCGAGGATGATATGATAACTGCGACTGAACATTGATATTTCACCGTCTCTCAGTCACGAGTGACATTGGCTCGGTCGCTGTCGTCACGTATTATTGATCATACGCTTTACCCGGCGCCGTTTCACTCTTGCACTGGCTGCTGTTCCTTCCACGCGGGAATGGATTATCACGGTCGACGATGCTGGTCTCTTTTTTTTGTGTGTGTGTTGCTTTCACCCACACGCTCACACACGCACCGACATCCCCGCCCCTTCGTACCATCCCGCCGGCCCGCTTCTTCTTCCGCTGCTGGTCTCTCTTGGATGCCGTTCTTGCACGCCTAGCGTTGCTGGTTTTGTGATGGAGGGGGTGGTGGGGATGGTGGTTGTTGTTTTGCCACGGATGTTCCTGCTCCTATGGCTGCGGGCTGACCTGCTCTCCCTGCTGTTGATACCGCTTGTTGCTGGGGCGTGCCCCTCTCTCTCTCTTCCACTGCTGCTCCCGTCCAGATCCTGCGAGACTCGCTGGGGAAGCTCAAGCTCAACGACGCCGCTCTGGCCTACGAGCCCGAGGCTTCGTCCGCGATGGGCTTCGGCTTCAGGCAGGTTTATTCCTCTCTCTACCCTAGCGTGCTTCTCTCGTTTGTCCGCCGCAACAGGGTCAATCAAGGTGGTAGCAAGATTGACGTTGTGCCATGCAAGGCAAAAGTATTGGTATGGTCACTCGGGCGCCAAGATTTGCGGAGGTATTCCGTGTCTGTTTCAGTTGGTCCCGTCTCGAGGGAGATGCGTGGTGTTAGTGAGAAAGAGTGTCCGCCCCGGTGCTTGTGCTCAGTAGATTTAATGACTACGTCAAGAACAGTCCGTCGGCGTGGTGTTGTTAATTCGTTGTTCTCGTACCCCGCCAGAGGAGGCAGCTGCGGTGTGTCGGTGTTTCGTGGCGACAAAGAGAGACAGGGGGGGCAAGACAGATGTTGACATTTTGGCGCTTGGTGTTGGCATGGTGGTCTCGGACGCCCCGTGCCCCTCGTTGGCATGGGCTGTTGCCGGAACGTGCTGGGCGTGTTTTGTTTGCCTTGTCTGCGGGTGAGGAGGGGGAGGGGTTATTAAGAAAAATCACCACCAGCATGCACAGCAATCCTGTGCAGGAAGGTTTCGACCTGCCCTTTTTTTTTTTCGTTCCTGTTTTGAGTTGAAGGCCTTTAGCGGTTTAGCCCCCGAAAAAATACGTTTTTTTGTTTATCACGGCGAAGACAAGAGCTTTCTCAAGTGCGATTTTGATGTGTCCAAACCCAACCCCCCACTTTTCTCTGCGACGGCCGGCTGGCGGCGGCTTCGGCTGCGGCTGCGGCGGCCGCGAACAACACACAGGTGCGGTTTCCTTGGGCTGTTGCACATGGAGATCGTGCAGGAGAGGCTGGAGAGGGAGTACAACCTTGACCTCGTCATCACCGCACCTTCGGTTGTCTACAAGGCGGTGAGACACGGAAGGAGGGGGGGGGGGGGGGCTAGCGTATACGACACAAGACACAACACACACCCTGGACCGATTTTCGAAGCTCGATTTTTGAACAGCATCAACAGTGGCGGCGGTGGTGTCGAGAACGGCGGCGTTGAAACCGTCTTGTCGAGAGTTATCCGAAAACGTATCGTTTCGTTTATGCATCTTCTTTGTCGTGGTGTCATCGAGCTTTGAAAATCGGTCCAGGGGATGTGTTATCTCGTGTCGTATTCGGTATTTTGATGACTGAAAGTCAGATTCCGTGATTTTGTGGGGATGGACGTTTTAAGAAGTGCCACATCTCCCGCAAGGTCTGTCCAGAGGAAGATTCCCTCTTTTCACAGCAGCTTTCGATTACTAAGCCAGGTATCAATCTTCCATTAGGACATGGGTGTCCTTGTTGGTATTTGATCGGTATGCGTAGGTAAACCTTGTGTTGGCCGTGTCTGTCTCTTAGTTGCACACGGGGGCGTAAGGATTGATTGGTTCTTGTTCGTCATTGTGGGCCGATGCCGCCTTGGTCTCTCTCATCCCTCTTTTTTTGGTATTTTATTTTGCGCCCGTATTTTTACGTCTATTGCTGTTGTTTGTCGCGGCGGCGTGGCGCAGCGGACGCCCAAGGGCGAACTGATTGATGTCGACAGCCCGTTCAAGATGCCGGACGCGGACAAGCGGAGCGGCACTCAGGAGCCCTTCGTCAGGCTGGAGATGCTCACCCCACAGGTGTTTTTTTTTTACACGGTGGTTGCACAGACAAAACGTAGGGTAAAAAAAAAACAGAACATCTTCCTTCTTTCGTTTGAAGGGGTTGCAAAGCTTATGCTTAGCTTTCCACCATTGCGGCAAGGATCGTTTTGTGTGCATTTTGGACCGTCGGCTGGTATTTTCTTTTCTTTTTTTCTTTGAACTATTTACAATTTTCATTTCGGCCGACTCGGTGTGTGTTCGTGTCCCAGGCGCCGCGCCACGACGGCCACACACGCATCGGGCTTCTTGTTTCTTTCACATTTGATTCGCCAGGCGTTCTTAGGATTTCCGCCGCGCTGGAGGCTAACCGCCCTTGCTGTCGGGAGTGTTGTCGAGAAGATGTTGCTTCGGGTGAAGGGGTGTGGTGACTTGCCACAAACCGTAGGGAGTGCATGCTTTGTTGTTGCTGTTGCTGCTGCCTCTAATTGTGGTGTCGTGGTGGTTTGTGGTGATTTTCGCAATCGTTCTTTCTTCGCAAGAATAAACATTCCTTACGCTTGGTGACGAAAAGAACGATTATAGCCCGCGTTGACCCCTCCATCCCGCCCGCGTTGTTTGTGTTTTGTCTTTATTATTAGCATCGACCGCGCTAACCGGCTGACCAATGAAAAAACGTTAGTCTCAGTACGGTTGAAAACACAAAAACACTTCCAAATGCCACCAACGGGGACCCCGTGAGGGGGCGGCATGGGGGAGATTGATCTATTCTCCGGATCAAAGACTTTGTGCGTGCGTCGTCCAACAGGAGTACACCGGCACCTTGATGGAGCTGTGCCAGAGCCGTCGGGGTGTGCTGATGGACATGAAGTTCGTGACGTCTGCGAGGGGGAGCATCATCTACGAGATACCGCTGGCGGAGGTATGTACGCACCTGATCGTGTACCTTTGTCCTCGCCCTCGCTATTCAACACAGTACTCGCTCTCGGTGAGAAGCGTTAAGCTGCAGGGCGCTCTTTTCAAGAGCTTTTGCTTTGCTTTGCCGTTGCCGCGGTGCTCTTTTTATCCCGCCACCGCTCCGCTAGAGAGTCCATACATGGCGCCCAGATTGCCAATGTCGCACAGACAGCAGCAAGCAGTCGTGTTCGGAGAGAGGCGTGCTGGACACTTCGCCTCCTCAATGACGGAGAGGCCCCCTTCCACTGTCTGGGCTCCGCCGCTGCCCGATCCCCTCTCGTCACCCGCCCCCCGCCCCCTTGCCCCAAATGGCGATCGCCTCCCCTCAAAGACGGACAAGCTCGCTTCCACGAAATAACTAGGCTCCCCTGCTGCCCGATCCCAAACGGGTACCCCCCCCCCCTCCCGCTTCCCTGCCCCCAATCACGGAGAGGCTCGCTTCCACTTGTAGCTCAGCTTCGCCGCTGCCCTAATCCCGTCCCCTGCCCCAAATCACGACCAATACTGCTGTTGTGGTGCATCCCGCCCTCGAGGTTAGGTTATCACGGATTTCTTCGACCAGGTTAAGTCCCGCAGCAAGGGTTACGCCTCCATGGAGTACCAGATCCTGGAGTGGCGGGACCAGGACCTGGTGCGGTTGGACATCAAGATCAACGGGGAGGACGCGCCCCCGCTGTCGACGGTGTGCCACAGGGACCAGGCGCATCAGAGGGGTAAAGGTGAGGGTCTGGTGTGCTTGCGTGGTTGTGTTTTTTTTTTGTCCAGGCGCATCAGAGAGGGGGGAGGGTTGTTTGCATGCATGTGTGTGTGTTTTTTTTTTTTGGTCAGAGTGAAAGAAGGCGGCGGAATGGTGTGTCAGTCCCGCCTTGCCGTTGTTGAGCCGCGCATCACTAGACGGCGGGCACGTCGTGTGCCTTGTCTATGTTGTGGTGGTGCGTTGTTTTTTTCGGGATGAATTATTGTGTTCTGGCGGCTTCCACGTTTGTGGGTTTGAGTGTGAAATGTGTATGTGTGTGTGTGTTTTCGGCTTTTCGTCTCAGCTTTGTTTAGCATCTCGACGGCGCTAACCGGCTGACCAACCGAAAGCCGTCGGTCTTATGCATATGCCGTGGGACGAAAAAAGGGTGCGCGTGTCTTGTGTGCACGATTGCACCCCAATGGCCAAGACAACAAAAACAAGATGAGGGGTGTGCGAGCACCACAAGGCTAGTTGCCGCGCCTTCACCTTCCTGTAGCTGGACCCTCGCTCTTTTTGCGGTGGCAGTGTGCTATGTGCGGCAAATTTCCAGGCTGCACCGCCCACCAAAGCCGAGGAAAATGAAAAAGTTCCATTTGTAGTTCAGATGCTCCAACCAAGCGCATCCAAGAATGAGGATATAGTCTGTTTCTGCCGAACTATCGCACTATTTGGGGGGGGGCGTGTTCCTGGCTGGAAGCTGCCACCTCTGTTGAGAAGCTTGGTTTGTCCTGCCGCGAGGGCTTGCGAGCACACACGGGGACACCCGGACAAAGATGTGCGTCTCGTCTCGTCTCATCTTCTGTACTGCAGCAAGCCCTAGCGTTCTCTTGCTCCTCCTTCTCTTGCTTTTCACGGAAGCACTATTTAACTCATTGTCCACGTCCTTTGTTTTGCGTTTGATTGGTGGCATCCTTTTTCTCTCTTCGCTCAGTGCTGACGGAGAAGCTCAAGCAGCTGATCCCGAGGCAAATGTTCCGGGTGCCGATCCAGGCCTGCATCGGGGTGAAGGTAAGACAGAGTAAGACCGCCGCAGTCTCGTGTTTGTCGAGGCTGGTGTCGGTTGTGTTGCGAGGAGGGGGTCGGTGTCAAGAATTAAGCTTCGGCGGGGCAAGGAACTTCTGAACCCTCCCCTGACGGGGTAATGTATTCGGCGTAACCCGCGGATCGTAGGTCTCGAGTTCGGAAACGACAAGTAACAGAGGGAATGCTTGCTTGTTGTAGGTTCTGCCCCGCACACCCTTTGAATTGTTTTTCTTGTTGATAATAAATGAAACATGCCGAAGATGTACCCGCGCCTTTTTGTTTTTGATGTGTTGCAAATAATGTGTAAATACCAAGAAGAAAAATGCGACCATTTTCAGCGTTCCTCTCGAGACACGATCGATAAGAACAAGACAATGTCGTCATCACTTGCGGTATAGTATGCGCAGCGGCGGCTGCAAAGAGGCGTAGCGAGAAACCACCAGCCGCTGTGTTGAGGCCGCAGCCACGCGTGATCCCCCCCCCGCCATTCGGGCCTCTTGTTGTATGTGCACGATTCGTCACATGCACCTACTTGTCCCATTTTGTCGCAAACCATGGTTGGTGGTTTTCCTTGCGCCGCGTGACCCCCCCCCCCCCCCCTATCCTGGCATCTTCCAGG